CACTTGCCATGGCCAAAATTTTAATTCTTGCTCTCCTTATTCTTCTTGTTTTGGCTGGAGATTTTTTCTGTACTAGCTGAGTGAAAAAATCAGAAGATGGGTACTTTTGAGTGGAAAATGAGGATATTGTTAAGATTTGCATAGTGAAACTAGACATTTTTCTATGGTTTAAGATGTGAATTAGACTAGCAAGATTTAGTATTAGCAATTGAGACAAGTTTGGCCTGAGAGTACTGTTGAGAGCTAGAAGGTGCAGTTGATTAATCTATTTTTGTGCTTTCAAAATTTTCCGACAGTGGCACTTATTCTAAAGGGCACATGCAGGGGCGGTCATTGATCGGTTCGGTTCGGTTCGGTTATGAATATTATCGGTTCTTCGTATCGGTTTATGAATATACTAACTCGATAACTGAACCGATAAGATATCGGTTATCGAGTATCGATTAGTCGATTATCAATCTTTATCGGTTCGGTTATCGATTTACCCGATAAGAATAAAAACTATCCAAAAAATCCATGTCTTTATTATAGAAATCGTGACCATACTATTAAGAGAAAGGAATTGAATTTTTGCTCTTAAGAGAACAGAGACTAAATTTCAACTTAGAAAATAAAATTTTCTTTGCATTTGAAAATCTCAATGAATGATCTCAATTTTCAAAGGTATAAGTTAATAGGAGTAAGGGATAAGACATTTACCAATCTAATCTTACTATCTCATTGCGGGCAGGCATAATTCATAGAAAAATAATAAAATCCTAATCTTGTAAATACTAAAGAATCAGTACAACAAAAGAAACAAATAGAGAAACTAAAAATCTGAACAATTAATTCTCTAAAGTTTAAAACTAAAAATCTTAATTGAAAAATTAAAATGAGAAATTCATAAAAGTTTAAAATTTACTCTAAGGATTAAGGTAAGAAGATGAAGAGTAACTACCAAGAGAATTGAGAGAATGAAGCCATAAGGTGGTTTTATATACTTATTGGGTAAAATTATAATTTTGATAAAGTTTATTGGGCATCGGTTAAACCTTTAATAAAATTGGCCGGACCGATAACCCATTAGTCAAATAACATTATAAGTTATCGAACTATTTACCTAATAACCCAATATCGATAACCCATTAGTCAAATAACATTAAACCGTTATCGAACTATTTATCTAATAACCCAATACCGATAACCCAATAGTATTTTATCGGTTCGGTTTATCGGTTATATCTGATATATGCCCAGCCCTAGCACTATGTGTCGGGTTCGTCGAAGGTTCGGACCACATAAATTTACTGCATGCAGTCTTAACCTACATTTCTGCAAGAGGTTGTTTCTACGGCTTGAACTCATGACATGTTGATCACATATCAACAACTTTACCAGTTAAGTAGCCTTGGCGTAAATAATAATTTGGTTCTTTTTGTAAATATAAAAAAAAATCAGCACCTTTTTTTAACAAAAAGTTATTCCTGCTTAATATTCAGCCAACATTAAACATCATTTCTTGGACAAAGAAAAAGAATCATTTCGGCCAAATTAGGTTGTTCGTATTGGAGTTAGAGAAATAACGACAAAATTCTTGTCGACGTGTTTCTAATGGCAGTCTAATATCACAAAATTCTTGTCGACGTGTTAATTTAAATTATTGCTTCTTGAAGTATTAGTTTTTACCACTACATCACTTTTATCTTGTTCAAAAGACACCACATTTTAGTAATCCATTAACATGATAAATACGTATATTGGAAAAGTATAGTGTTTGAATTTGATTAGTCACAATTAATCATTCGACTTGCCTCAGTCTCATATAAATTGGAGTTAATTATGTGAAGCCAAAGAATACTTTAGCTGAACTTATTTCACTTTATTTTAATAGATAATTTGTCTTTCAAAGTAAATAAGAGATTATTTGTCTGTTAATGTTTGATGTTTGGTCTACCTAATTCTCTATAAATATTTCCAATCATCACTAATTACATGAAGGACATTTCATTCAAAGACCTAGTTACATGAAGGACATTGGCACGGATGAATCATTTACATTTTGTTCCTATTATTATCGGGTAAAGGACATTTCATTCACAGATCTTGATCTTTTAAGGTAAAAGTGCTCCGTGAGAAGGGCGATGGACAGAAATGACCTTGTTATACCTTACTCTCGTCTTCAATGGAGTTTGCTCTTACTTTTTTTGGAAGAGTATGCCAATATGATCTTAACGAGGTATTATCCGCTTAAAAAATGAATAACCAATGGATCTCCATATTATTCGTCGATTAACTCATTTTCTATCTGTATTAAATATGGGTCGGATCATTTTATCTATTTTTTCATTATCCATTTTCAACCCGCGTATATCCGATCTAACTCAATCGTTTGCCACCCCTATAACAGGATAAGCACGCGTGCATTTATAATCTTTTATAGTTTTATATTTTTGTTCAATTACTCGCTATTATGTCGTATTGAAAATTTCACCACGCAACTTAAAGTAGTAAACTCCTTGCATAATTGTGTTGCATGTACTAAGGGGTCATTTGGTAGGGTGTATAAGAATAATACTGAATATATTAGTAATGCTAATATTAGTTATGTTTGTATTAGTTATGCTGATATATTTCTTATCCATTGTTTGGTTTGATGTATTAAAGCATTGCACAATTTTCAAAAAGAATTATTTATTTATGAAAATACCATCATAACCGGTCCATCACTTTATCTTTTTTAAAAAAAAATATGTTGATGAATATTTTTATATGAAAAATTAAAGGTCTTTAAAAAATTATTTGATTTGTCTACCTATATTGTAGCATAGAACTGAATATTTATTTATAAAAAAAATATGTTAAGTATTTATTTATCTACTAGGGAAGTAATTTTGTTTCCCACTTTCTTGGATTATTAGGCAAAGAAAGTTTGGATTAAAAAATATAAAAGGAAAATGAGTTGATTACAAGTGCACTCCAGTACGTAGTAGTAGAGTACATATTTATAAATTTACAATAAAGAAATTGGCAGAGTATATATATAAATAGCGGGAGCATAAATTTTGAAAGGCAATTTTGTCTTTGACTAAGCTAATGCATGCATTAAAATATATTGCATTGTTAATATCATGGTTTCCCGTGAATTAGTTATGCATAGGATAATACAGAATATGGTGCATAACTAATGCATAGGTTCAAAAAGTGAACCAAACAAGATATTATTAACACACAAAGTTAATACATATATTATTTTATCTAATGTATCATACCAAACGACCCCAAGTACTTTTATCTCTGCTCATTGTAGACATGTGATTTTTGACCCTCCCCAAGATTTTACATATTTTAGTGTTAAATATTTAGTTTAGGTCTGAATATCGCTATTTCAGCTAATTTTGACTCTTTTACTTTATTTTATTATAAGAAAATGAAAATTATAAAAATAATTTCATTAATGTTTTGTAGTCATTTTAATCTTGAAAATACCAAAAAAATTGTTTCAACTTTCATTTTTAGCTTTTATTTTAATATTAATAGTTTATCAATTTCAACTAAGAGTTTTTATATTTTATAGGTATTTAAATTGGATTTTCAGCTTGCTTTTGGCCAAATTTTGTAAATTTCGGAGCCCAATTCAAATATGAGCCCATAATTTAACAACTCAACCAAATACCCCATCAACACCCTAATCTTCTTCTTCTTCATCTACTACAACATAAACCCTAGAACTTTAACATAAAAAGGCAGCCATAAGCCATCTTCTTCAACATTGGACAACAAGACTAAAACCCTAACCTATCTCCTTCTTCTTCAACCTAAAACCATAAAGATAAAACCCTAGAAAGACACAAACATACAAGACAACCATGGCTTGATCTTTTTGCACCCAAAACGAGACTACAACAAACCCTACGCCTCCTAAAACAAGCAGCCGCCGCCGCCGCTCTTCTTCTTCATCACAGCCACCCCAAACTACCACCCCGCACACAGCCAAACGACTCCGATCTCCAGCAGCGGCTGAACTCCGGGAACGGCCCCTGTTCCTTCATCTTCTTCTTCATCTTCAACCCGAAAAACTTGCCGGAAAATGACTCCCACCTCTCTCTCTCTCTCGTTTCTGTCTTACTTCCATCGCCGGCAAACTCACTGGGAACGAGAGAGCAGCATCTGCTCAGGAACGCACATACATGTTGAAAACTTGAAATCAAGAAACAGAGGGGAGAGGAAAATTGAGTGAGAAGTTAGGGTTTACAAAAAATTTGCTTCTGATCTCATTCTCATTTTTCAGATTTCGTGACCTAGTTTAAATTTTATAAACAAAAAAAACGACAAAGTCTGTATCTTCTTCTCAATTTCGGATTTTTGTCTTAAAAATGGAGTCAAGCCGAGTCCGATTCGAGTTTGTTGCCGATTGTAGGTTCTAGCCGCGACGTGCGTGTTCCGGTTCGCGACCCTTAAATTATTTTGCTGTTGTACTTTGTGTTGGGATTCAGTAGATTTAAGGCATTATACTTGCCTCCTCCCGATTGATCAAAAAGTTCTTGGCATTAAGGTTGAATCCTTCAATCCTTTACTCATTTTAATGTTAATTATTTTCTCGGTGATTCGATTCTGTGACTTGTTATGTATGGTTTTGAATGTGCCCGCTCGTATGTCTACTTGAATTGATTGCGAGTGAATTGGAATCGCACTTTTAATTATTTGTGTCACGACCCATTTCCTGAACAAGCCGAGACCGGCACTCGATCACTAAACATGACCGAGCGAACCATCTCTGCTTATCAACCCTATTATAACTCCAAACTTTATATGCAACAAAGCAATACTCTAAACAAATACATTTGGATTAATTCAAATATGTAAATAAATCAACTCCAAAGCTTTATTCGTAGTAACTACTGAATTACTGCTAAGTTATTATAAAATGACATCTGAATCTCAACCCAATGACTATGTCTATGAAGCCTCTACTGATAAATTGATGCACTGCTCAGGACATGAGATTTCCTGGCCAGTTCTCTAAATAAACAAAGAAATAGCTAAATGAAAATGACTCTAAGAATACTCCACGAACAAAAGCGGAGCTCACCAATATCACTGGAAGGGAAGGAAGTCCTAACTCGTAGCCTGCTCGCCTGCAAATCCGGTTCCTACGTTGTACCGCAGACCAACGTAGGTTCCCAAAAGAGAACGTCAGTACCATCCACTGTACTCAGTGAGTCTCAACAACAGGGGGAGAAACTTTAATAACATTTACATTATGAGTAAAGGTTCCAAATGCATGTAGAACATAAAGCTTATAAGAATAATTCTAAAATAATTGCATAATAGCAATTTATGAATATTCTAAAAGAAATTCTTTTCTTTTTCTTTCTTTAAAAAAAATACTTCACTTTATACTTTGGGATTTCCAACTATCGTGACTTAATTCTAATTCTATCTCAGTCACCGTGTGATCGGCACGGGTTCGATCCCAACCTGATCGAATAGGCCCAATCCACGAGGTGCCACTCGCTTCATGGTTCTCAGCGCTCATGTATCATACCTTAGCATGACTAAGTAAATTCTCAGCAACAAGACCCTCGGCTCGTATGCTCCCTACTTTGGCACAAGTAGTTTCAGGAAGTCAATGCCTTGGTCAGGACCCTCGGCCTGGACGATGACCCCTTCTCAGAATAAAGGATACTCCCCAAAAATCTTTTCTTTCTAAAACTTCTTCTTGTGACTTTTCAAGTCTAAATCTTTTCTTTATAGAACATTATGTACATGCTCATATTGGTGTCCTTAAATGTAAAGCATGGCATAAGAATGAAATAAACATATAAAAATATTTCCAAAGATTCTTTCTTCTTCATAATTTTCAACATGAAAATAGCATATAAGAACAACACAAAAATCTGAAAATTTAAGCACATATAGCATAATAGATCATCTAAACTTTTGCTAGAACAATTCTAAATTAATGGGTACTCACTCGCTCTAATTAAATAAAGATAAACTCTTTTAAGCAATTCATCAAACACCTTGTATGCGTGCTTTTGTGAGTTAAACCACTTTAGTAAAGGGTTATATCAACTCACCTCAAAACTTCTCGAGCCAATACGTAGCCCCAGTCAAATTGACACCAGTCAACCAATCGATTCTACAACAACCAATATATTTTAATCAATTTTAAAGTACTACACCTAAATATGAAATTTATTATTGATATAGAGGAAGAAGGGAATTAGCTATTCAATTCTTACATATTACTACTTTAGGATAATTGAAAATAGGGAATTTTATATACCTGAATTCAAGAATTAGTGATTTGTAAAGAACCCTAGAATCTTTCGTTGCTTGTGTGATAAATGAAGCCTCTGTTTCGTGAGGAACGATTCTGTTTTTTTTTTTAGCTTTTGCTTTCCGTCCTTTTTGATAACGTTCTGCCTCTCTTTTAAGGCTTGGAGGCTATTGTTTCAAGCAACCCTTTTTATGGGCTTTTAAGCCTTTTTCCATTTTTTTTTAAATTACTACTAACTAATGATACCCTTTTTTTTTTTGAAAATTAATAATTTTAAAACTATTGATATTTTCTTAATTGTATATCCAATTTTTTTTTTATATATATAGGCAAGATAAAAATAATAAAAATAGTAATAAATTAGTTCTATAGTTAGCGTGTCTCGAAACTTTTATAAATTTGGGGGAGTGTTACAATCTTCTCTCCTTAAAAAAATTCATCCTCGAATGTTGCTAGGGTCTTATTATTAAGCTAACAATCATTCCTTAGGTCCTTGAACCTCTTAAATTTTCTTAGCACTACCCACTCTCCCAAGGGACTCAAAAATTTGGCTAACTCCCTAAATTTTCAAAAATTTCGGCAGAGTTTCCCTTGTAAATTGGGCTATCCAAAAAAATTATCCCTGTCACAAATGCCACAACTACATCAATAACAACCAATAATGCCATAACAGGCCATTCATAGGCACCATACGCAACTCATATATTAATTACTCATACTCCGGCAAGGAGGTACTACAATAACTAACAAGAATCTAAAGCACAACAACTTTAGCATAAGTAAATCACTTTAATGAATTAAATATACTACGGCATAAACTAAATTACTACAACAGCTAAGTATAATCTTGGAAGGACAGAAACATTTGCTAACTTGTATTTAATAAATGAAATATAAATGTCAAACCAAACTTAGGTTCACATACCTTTTTCCTCAAATAAATATGGATATTTCTTTCTTATATCTTCCTCGACCTCCCATGTAGCCTCTTTTGAATCATGATTACTCCACAAAACTTTTACCGATGCTAAATATTTTGTTCTCAACTTCCTTACTTGCCTATCGAGAATTTCTATAGGTACCTCTTCATAAGTCAAGCCTTCTTTAATTTCTATGGTATCGGCAGGTATTATATGCGACTCATCATGAATGTACTTTCTAAGCATAGACACATGAAAGACAGGATGAACAGAGGACAACTCAATGGGTATTGCTAGCTTTATAAGCCACGTTTCCTTTCTTTTCTAGAATTTCATAAGGTCCGATAAATCTAGGGCTAAGTTTCCCTTTCTTACCAAACCTCATAACTCCTTTCATTGGTGAAACTTTCAAAAACACCTTATCACCAACCATGAACTCTAACTCACGATGCCTCTTGTCAGAATAAGACTTTTGACAACTCTGAGTCGCTTTAAGTCTTTCTCTAATTAGCTGAACTTTCTCCAAGGACTCACAAACAAACTCTGGACCAATCAACGACACCTCTGCTAGTTCAAACCAACCCACCAGAGACCTACATCTCCGCCCATACAATGCTTCATAAGGAGCCATATTAATGCTGGCTTGATAGCTGTTATTGTAAGCAAATTCTATAAGTGGCAAGTGATCATCCCAATTACCTCCAAAATCTATAACACACGCACGCAACATATCTTCGAGAGTCTGAATGGTCCTTTCTGCCTGGCCATCGGTCTGTGGATGGAAAGCAGTGCTTAAGTTGACCTTGGTACCTAATCTTTTCTGAAATGCCTGCCAAAAATGCGCCGTGAACTGAGGGCCTCTGTCAGATATGATTGAAACTAGAGTACCATACAATCAGACTATTTCTTTGATGTACAACTGCACATACTGCTCTGC